ACTACTCGTGTGTGTGTGTGTGTGTGTGTGTGTGTGTGTGTGTGTGTGTGTGTGTGTGTGTGTGTATCTCGAACGGAATTAATTATACCACAATAATTGTAATACATAAGTACTAGGTCTTACATTAAATAATTGAATCCTATATTGAAATATTCGTCCGTCTTTGACGCATATGCGTATATGGCGGTATAATGCGTACAATGAACGTAAGATTCGCTCGACGGACAGTATATCATCGTGCAGCGAGACAACTCGTGTGCCCGCTCATTCATTACGTGTACGGGATAATCAACGACGACAAGCGGCACGTCTCTCCGTCGTCCCAAATGGCGAGATCCCAAAGGGGAGATCTTTCGAGGGTTTTCCTACACGAGGCGATGCTCGGCGACACGCCATATTCGTGTGAATAAAATTTCACTCGTCGAATTTGGATTTCCCGAGTGCACATTTGGATCGCGGCCAAAAACGTGAATTCTTCGTCGCAATCGAGATCGATTACACGTGCGGGGACGATCATCGCGAATGAATTGTCCCCGTTTTGTGATCATCGCATCGTTACTTGGTCAGCAGAGCTGCAGATCAACGGCGCGGATCCATCTCGTGAAACTCTCGAGAAATCGATGACAAGCCGTCGAATGAATTATATGATCTCAGGGAAGCGAAATGAAACGCTCGCGAAATTTTTCGTGTCATTTGTGTCAACGAAGTCGCACAGAGATTTTCAGAGATAAACCATCGCGATTCTTTTCATCGCAAATCTTTTACTGGAGGACTGTTTGCCACGTGTACTCTCTATGGAAGTTGACCAACATCTGCAAGTTCGTCGATGTGAATCTTAACAGATAAAATTTTGTCCTAGCAGATAAAATTTTTGCAACTACTTCTCGATAATGTCAGTAGCTAAAAGCCGTTTCTCTATTATCATCGTGTCCACGTGATAAGAACGCATCTCGGGACATTTTTACATTTTTATTGGTTCTGTCACGCATTGCCAAACTTATTAAATACAAAATTATAATTACAATAAATTAACATATCCGCCAGACTAATTTGCTAAATTTTATAAAATTATATTACAGTGTCAATCTCTTTATTATTTAATTATAATCGCAATATCGGTTTGTTTGCAGCGAAATATATATTATCAACCCTTTTGAAGCTGATCTCCAAAAATAATATGACGCATGTTTTACATTAGATGACTGATCTTCCTAAATAAGCAAATTGAGCCGTTAAGAATGTATTTTTATCTATTTTTATAATTTTTATATTTACAACGAAATAAGTATGAAAAACTTACAGATTATTCTAAATTGCATTTAAAAATAATACAGAAAAGTTTGGCAGTTAAAAATCTGACTCAAAAGTTATTTAAATAAGTAAGTAAAAATGTGCTCTAATGGAAAAAATAATGGCAAAAATCTTAATTTTTTTTAAATTGAGTACTTTAAGTATTCAAGATTATTTATTTAAAATTTCATTGCGATGCAGATTAATTATTTTATAAATAGAAATTTAACTTTTATTTACAGAACAACTAATCTTTGCATCGCAAAGAAATTTTACATTATCTTGAATACTTAAAATACTTACATAAGAAAATAGAGGTTTCTGTCATTATTTCTTAATTACATTTCTATCAAAATACATCCTTACAGCTAAGTAATTTTAGATTGATTTTAAATCATCACAAAATTTTTTACATTACTTTTAAATACGATCTCGAATAATCTATAACTCTTTCGTAATTCTTTTATTGTAAATAAAAATAGATGTAATACTTAAAGTTAGGAAGAAAAAATAATTTCAGAGAACAAATACTGCTATAAATTGCAATGTCGCAAGCGGATACAAAGCCAAAAGGGTCAATGTACAGAAAAATCATGTTACATACTAAGAGATTACGATATGATCGTGACGTGATTGTGATCTAAAAAAAGAAGCGCATAAATGCGATTTAAGTGAATCTAATCACGTATTCTCGAAAGTATTCGCGCAATCGTTGATTGCTAATCCCGCAGAGATACGCGTGTAAATACGTCCGATACACACCCAAGTATATAACTACGCTAATTATAATCACGAGACATTCGCGACACACGCCACACGGTGATCCCGTGTAATCAGTGGATGTACTAATTACACGTTCACTTTAATCAACCATTTGGTTAACCGCTGGAAACGAGCTGCGTATGCAGGTCGCTTCGTTATAAAGTGGAAGGAAAAAATCTCGTTTATAGAGCTTAACAAGCATATTCAAATTGGGGAATATAATAACATAATGATAAATAAGACTCGGATAAAAGTTTCAACGACATAGACAATGAGAAAAATATCGCGGTTTTCTCTTTCTTCATCAACGACTGATCCAGCGTCATATCTAGCGGAGATTTAATATATCAGATATAACTCGGAGCTATGATATCGATTTGCATCATCATTTTCTAGAATTCTTCTTCTTTAAAATTCTTCTTTATTTTCGCTTTGCACGTCACAAATATCTCTAGTTCGATTCATATCAATTAGCGCGATCTAAAAAAAAATACTCGAGTAGGAATTGTGAGATATGTGCAGCGTAACAACTTGTTATATTATTACCCTAGATTATTATCATATTGAATATTTAATAAAGTAAAATTCTCTCATTTCACCAAACGGACATAACTCTCGCGGAATGAATTGCAGACCGAAAGTGCGCGGCACAAATGCCAGGAATTATATATTTCCATATTTTCCACGGTACATTTTATAACGGCTTTAATCGAGCAATATTAATGCCGCTGCATTGTAATATCTAAGCCATACACATACGTTCGAAGCATACACATTTTATCGATTTTTCCTCGTTGCACCTCGCATTACATTCCAATTTACTATGAGCGAGAGAAGGAAAATTGTGCAGGATGCAATCGCGAGAATAACGTGTGTTTACCTCCGAAGCTAATAACTTTGTTATCGTACGCGTTTTTTTTTTAAATTTATCAAAAGAAATATTTTTCACGTCATTTACGTGCGCATATTACGTCATTTCCCTTTTTCCCCCGTTAATTTAATAAGATAAATGCACTCGTGTGCTTTTCTCGACGAGCAACGAACGCGACGAGTTACAAGTGACGTTCGTTTATGGCCTTCGAGAAAACAAATTGATATCTCCTGAAAGTTTTATGTCTGTTGTCTCGTATTCTATCTGGATCGGCAACGACCTTCCTTGGAAAAGTGATTTCGCTAGAAATATGGAACAACGGTATGCAAAGTGCCGCTCCCGCGATTATCTCGCAAGGACGTCTGTAATATGCTTGAGGGCCTAGTTTTTCGATAAGTGGAGTTGACGAGTTAGGGAGTAGGAAGTAGCGTGTTCGCAAAATTTGTTTATCGCGTTATTTATGCGTTACCAGTATATCTTGATCCAAATAGTACAACGTTCCTGAAACAATGAAGATAAAGTAAGATGACAATCAATAGTTTCGCAAGAGTTAGGTCTGACTCGAAAAAAAATAATGATTTTATTGAATTTTTCCTCGTTCCTTGTTGTTCGATCCGATCGAATGTATTAAACAAATGTGATTGATAATTAGCATCAAATTACAAAGAAACTTAAGAATGAGAGGTCGATAAAAAGGTCGTGTATGATAATGAGAGCACCAACGCTTCGAAAGTGATACGTACAAGGCAGAGAAGTTATAAATTATTACGTAATCGCATTGTAATCTTAAGTATAGTTAACACGCTACAAATTTATATGCAATTTATATTCAGTTAGTGATATAGAAATATCGACGCTGCTTTCTTTTTAGGAAAAAAATAGGTATTTTTTTTTTATTTGACAAAAGCATATGTTGTAATCGGTCGCTGAAATACTCAATAGTAATCCTGTACTAAATTGATTTAAATTGCTGTAACATTACGTAATTGGGGGATAAAAAGTGTACTTTATATATATATATATATATATATATATATATATATATA